AGATTTTTGTTGTTGTTGTTGTTACTATTTTGTTTTACTGTGTCATTAGCCCAACAGCAATTTGATTAAAAGTCTCTATAGCTTCTGAGATACTAATATTAAAGGTGAGGTAGTAGTCTCTGAAATCTAGTGGTGAGCAATCCAGCCAATAATAAAATCATTGCTTCAAGGTTTTATTATGACAGTAATTTATATTAACCTAAACTATGAATCAATCCTAAGAGTCTAAATATATCAGAGACTTACAGAGAAATGTGTTTTTGCTATAAATTTCTTCATAGAGAAGCAAATTAATGTTGTTAGGTGCTGTCAAGTCATCTCTGACTCATAACGACCTTATGTACAACAGAATGAAACACTGAGCAGTCCTATGCCAGCCTCACAATCCGTGCTGTAGCTGAGCCCATTGTTACAGCTACTGTGTCAATCCATTTTGTTGAAGGCCTTCCCTTTTTTTGTTGACCCTCCACTTTATCAAGCATGATGTCCTTCTCCAGAGAATGGTCCCTTTTGACAACATGACCAATGTAGGTGAGACAAAGTCTGGCCATTCTTTCTTGCAAGGAGCATTCTGGGCTGCACTTCCTCCAGGACAGATTTATTAGTTCTTTTTGCAGTCCATGGTATTCTGAGTATTCTTCACCAACATGACAACTCAGAAGCATCAACTCTTCTTCGGTCTTCCCTATTCATTGTCCAGCTCTCACATGCATACGAGGCAAGAGAAAATACCATGGCCTGGACTACGCACACCTTAGTCTTCAAGGAGACATCTTTGCTCTTCAGCACTTGAAAGAGGTCTTTTGTACAAGATTGTTCCAATACAATACATTGTCTGATATCTTGGCTGCTGCTTCCATTGTTGTTGATTGTAGAACCAAGTAATATGAAGTCTTTGACAACTTCAATCTTTTCTCCATTTATCAAGATCCTGCTCGTTGGTCCAGTTGTGAGGATTTTTGTTTTCTTTACATTGAGGGCTAAGGCATTTCACTGCTAACCAGAAGCTGCCAGTTCAAACCCACCAGCCACTCCTCAGAAGGAAGATTGAGTGATCTACTTCCATAGTGATACTGCCTCAAAAACCCAAGAGGAGTCACTATTAAGTCAGATCTGACTTGACGGCAGTGAGTTTAGTTTGGTTTTTTGGTAATCCATACTGTAGACTGTAGTCTTCAATCTTCATCAATAAGTGCCTGAAGTCATCCTCACTTTCAACAAACAAAGTTGTGTCATCTGAGTATCACAGGTTGTTAATGACCCTTCCTCCAATCCTGATGCCACATTCTTCTTGATATAGTCCAGCTTCTCGGATTATTTGCTTAACATACAGATTGAATAAGTATGGTGAAAGGATACAACGCTGACACACTCCCTTCCTGATTTTAAACCATGCAGTATCTGCTTGTTCTATTTGAACAACAGCCTCCTGGTCTTATGTACAAGTTCTTCATTAATACAATTAAGTGTTCTGGAATTCCCATTCTTCTCAATGTTATCCATAATTTGTTATGATCCACACATATGTCGAATGTCTTTGCATAGTCAATAAAACACAAGTAAACATCTTTCTGGTATTCTTTGCTTTCAGCCAAGATCTTTCCTACATCAGCTATGATATCTCAAGTTCTACGTCTGCTTCTGAATCCAGCTTGCATTTCTGGAAGTTCTCTGTTAGTATACTGCTGCAAACATTTTTGAATTATCTTCAGTAAGGTTCAGTAAGGAGCTCTGGTAATGTAGTGCCTAAGGCACTTGACTGCTAACCAGAAGGCTGGTGGTTCAAACTACCAGCCACTCCTCAGAAGGAAGGTTGGGCAATCTACTTCCATAGTGATACCACCTTGGAAACCCAAGGAGGGGTTGCTATGAGGCAGGACTGACTCAACGGCCCATAACAACACAAGATTTTAATTGCATGTGATATTGATGGTATTGTTTAATAATTTCCACATTCTGTGGGATCACCTTTCTTTGGAATAGATACAAATATGAACCTCTTCCAGTCAGTTAATCAGGTAGCTGTCTTCCAAATCTCTTGGCATAGTCGAGTGACTGCCTTTAGTGTGGCATCCATTTGTTGAAACATCTCAGTGGTTATTCCATCAATTCCTGGAGCCTTGTTTTTCACCAATTCCTTCAGCACAGCTTTTACTTCTTCGATACCATTAGTTCTTGATCATATGCCACCTCCTGAAATGGATGAACATCAACCAGTTCTTTTTGGTATAGTGACTCTGTGTATTCCTTCCATCTTCTTTTGATGTATCCTGCATCAATTATTCAATATATTGCCCACAGAATCTTTCAGTATTGCAACTTGAGGCTTAAATTTTTTCCTCAGTTCTTTCAGCTTGAGAAATACCGAGTGAGTTCTTCTTCCCTTTTGGTTTTCTAACTCCAGGTCTTTGCACATTTCATTATAATAATTGGCTTCATCTTCTCAAGCTGCTCTTTGAAATCTTCTGTTGAGCTCTTTTATTATTTCTTCCATTTTCTCTACCTACTCTTCACTTAAGGGCAAGTTTCAGAGTCTCTTCTGACATCCATATTGGTCTTTTTTTCCTTTGCTGTCTTTTTAATGACCTTTTGCTTTCTTCATAGATGTTCTTGATGTCCTCCTACAATTCCTCTGGTTTTTGGTCACTGATGTTCAGTGCATCAAATGTATTCTTTAAATAGGCTCTAAATTCAGGAGGAATATTATCAAGGTCATATTTTGGCTCTCATGAACTTCTTTTAATTGTCTTTGACTTCAAGTTAAATTTGCATATGAGCAGTTGATGGTCTGTTCCACTGTTCCACAATCAGTTCCTGGCCTTTTGTGGCTGAAGATACTGAGCTTTTCTGTCACCTCGTGCCACAGATGTAGTCAATCTGTGTACTCCATCTGGCAAAGTCCACATATATAGCCTCCGTTTGTGTTGTTGAAAAAAGGTATTTTCAATGAATAAATCATTGGTCTTGCAAAATACTATCGTGATCTCCAGCATTATTTCTATTACCAAGGCAATATTTTCAATTACCTCACCTTTGGCTTTGGTGGTTGGTGTATAAATTTGAATAATATTAGTATTAACTGGTCTTCCTTGTAGGCATATGGCTATTATCTTATCACTGACAACATTGTACTTCAGGATAGCTCTTGATACATTCTTTGTGATGATGAATGCCACACCCTTCCTCTTTGTCATTCCCGACATAATAGATCATATGGTTGTCTGATTCAGAATGACCAAAGCCAGTCTATTTCAGCTCATTAATGCCTAGGAAATCAATCTTTATGCATTCTATTTCATTTTTGACAACTTCCAATTTTCTTAGATTCATACTTCGTACATTCCATGTTCTGATTATTAATGGATGTTTGCAGCTGTTTATTATTTTAAGTTGTGCCACATCAGCAAATGGAGGTCTCAAAGCTTTACTCCATCTGCATCATTAAGGTCAGCTCTACTCTTAGGAGCTCTGGTAGCATAGTGGGTAAGGCACTTTACTGCTAACCAGAAGGCTGGCAGTTCAAACCCACCAGCCACTTCTTGGAAGGAAGATGGGGCAATCTACTTCTGCAGTGATACTGCCTCGGAAACCCAAGGAGGGGTCACTATGAGTCGAGTTCGACTCGATGGCACATAACAACAACAACAACAACTACTCTGAGGAGGCAGCCCTTCCCCAGTTGCATTTTGAGTGCCTTCCAACCTGAGGGACTCATCGTCTAGCACTGTATTGGATAGTGTTTCAGGTCCATTCGTAAAGTTTTGCAATAATATATCAGACAGTGTTTCACTGCTATTCATAAGGTTTTCACCTTATGAATAGGGTCATTTTCTTTGAGAAGTGGATGGCCTCTTCCTTCTTCTGAGTCTGTCTTAGTCTGGAAGCTCTGCTGAAACCTGTCCACCATGGATAACCCTTCTGGCATTTGAAACACCAGTGGCATAGCCTCCAGCCTCACAGCAACATGCAAGCCACCACAGTACGACAAACTGACAGACAAGTTTGTCTCCCTTAAAAAAAAAACCTCACTGCTGTAGGGTCGGACCTGACTCATAGTGACCTCTCCTTTGGTTTCCGAGGCAGGGTCACTATGGGAAATAGATTGCCCAGTCTTCGTTCCCGGGAGTGGCTGGTGGGTTTGAGCTGCCAGCCTTCTAGTTAGCAGTCATATGCCTTAGGCACTACACCACCAGAGCTCCTTTCTTGTTCCAAACTACTCCGCTCACATCCCGACCTCCCCCAGCCACTGCAACACCCACCGGCCCTACACGCCCAGCTCATTGCTTACGTGGCCTGCCCTGGGTGCTCCAAAACAAAAGCAAATAAATAAATATAAAGGCTTGGTTTTTAAAAGAAATATAGCAGCACAAAGGAAGAACCAAAAAAATGTGAATATGTATCAACCAAAAAATATTATTTTACATTTCTCTTAGTAGCTTCTTGCATATCACTGATAGCAAGTTACGTTTTCTGATTAATATAAATTCTTACCCAGTCTTCCCATTTTGGTCATGTGAGTGACTCGCTGGTTATAATTTATAGTTTTAATTAAAATTCCTATTTGCATGTAGTAGTCTTATTACTTCCATATTTAAGATCTGATTTCTTTCAGTCCTTAAGTCTTTGAAAATTTGCATGACTTGATATAATAATGTCTTTTTAAAGAACTTAAAGTTCTCAATCCCACAAGAGGCCATCTCTGTTTTCTAATGGGTAAACTAAAGTACAAATATCTGATTGTTGTCTTTTTTCTGAGTCATTGAACTGAGGATACTAGATAAGACAGCACATCTCTCCACTTTCTAATCTACTAGTTAAGAACTTAGTTCTTATTTCTTTGGGGAGTCAGATAAATTTCAGAAGGGCCAGATATATGGGGATCCAGCAATTGTTTTAAGGCTCAAAATTTGTAGTTCAAACTGCATTTACTTAGTTCCTCCTCAGCCACATGCAGAGCTGTCCTGACTATGTGAATGAGAAATAATTTCTAACATTTTATGACTTTTTTCCTAATTTTCTTAGATTACAGCGTCAAATCCATGCTAAAGATAATGAAATCAAGAATCTTAAAGAACAACTTTCCGTGAAAAGGTACCTGTCAAAACTTAGTTTTTTATTTGGTTGAATGTGTTGTTTCTGAAACTCTGTATTTCACTCAGCATTCTTGGGTAAGGTTGTTGTTGTTGTGTGCTGTTGAGTTGATCCTGACTCATAGCAACCCTTAATACAGCATAAAACTGCCCATGGTGTTTCCAAGGCTGTAATCTTTATGGGAGCAGATCACCAGGTCTTTTCCTCCCATGAAGCAGCTGGGTGGGTTAGATCACAGGTCTTTTCATTACAGCCAAGCTTTTAATCATTTCACTACCAGGGTATTGCTTCTTCTAGCTAGGGTAGCTATATAATTTATCATCGAAACTGGGGAACATTTTAGCATAAAAGTGAGCAGTATCAATAATCACATCAGGACAACAGTAGGTATCGTAGGAAAACTGGAAGGTATAGTCACCTTAGCTCTGGCCATAGAAACTGCTGAGAGAGATTAAATCACCAAAGTTATGCTCCCACAACAAATTATTGTCAGGGACTGGAGTCTGAGAGTTCTTATTTTTTTTACTTAATCAATCTACTAGATGTGACTGCTTTATGAAATTGGTTGAGTTTTATTCTGATTGATATATTTTTGCCTGTAAGGATTTTTTATGTCAGTTTTATTTACACATAATTTGTATAACATCAAATTGACACTGTTAAAGTGTAAAATGTTGTGGTTTTTGGTATATTCTCAGAGTTGCGCAACTATTAACCACTATCTAATTCCAGAACATTTTCATCACTCCCAAAAGAAATCCCAAAGCCATTAGCAGTCACTCTCCATACTCCCCTCCCCCAGCTTCTGGCAACTACTGATCTACTCTGTATCTTTACAGATTTACCTGGTCTAAACATTTAATATAAACAGAATTATATACTATGTGGCCTCTTATAACTGACTTCTTAGCCTATGTTTTAAAAAAGTTCATCCACGTTTTCACATGTATCACTATTCATTCCTTTTAATGTATAAATAATATTCCAATGTATGGTATACCACATTTTGTTTGTTCATTCATCATTTACTGGGTATTTGAGTTTGGGTTGATTCCACTTTTTTGGCTATTATCCATAATGCTGCTATGAGCGTTCATGTTCAATTTTTGTATGGACATATGTTTTATATTCTCTTGGGTATATACCTAAGAGTGGAATTGCAGGCTCTTGTGGTAATTCTATATTTAAGATTTTGAGGAACTGCCCAACTGGTTTCTATAGTGTTCCCATCATTTTACATTCCCACCAGCAGTGTGTGAGGGTTCCAGTTTCTCTACATCCTCGTCAACACTTGTTATTATCTTTTTTTTTTTCCCAGCCACTATAGTGCGTAGTGGGTGTGAAGTGTTATATCATTTTTTTTGAACCCTCAGAGGCCAGTGTTTACTTTTAACTTTTTATTAAGAATATTTTCAAAGAGTCACAAAAGTAAAGAGAGTAGCTTATTGAACCCACAGCATCCATTGTCTAGATACAATGATTAAATCTTATCAACCCATGACCAATTTTGTTTCTTCTATAGCCCTGATCATTTTTCTGCTCTTCTATTTTTAAATAATTATTTAAGTTTTTGAATAATTTTTTTTGGTGAAAGTCACATAACATTAACCACTTTAAAGTGTTCATACAATTCATTGGCATTTAGTACATTCACAATTGTGTGCAACCACCACCCTTATCTAGTTCTAAAACATTTTCATCCTTCAAAAATAAAACTCCTTACTCATTAATCGGGAGCTCTGGTGGCGTAGCGTCTAAGGCATCTGACTGCTAACCAGAAGGCTGGTAGTTCAAAGCCACCAGCCACTCCCCAGAAGGAAGGTTGGGCAATCTACCTCTATAGTGATAGAGCCTCAGAAACCCAAGGAGGGGTCGCTATGAGTCAGACCTGACTTGATGGCAGCGGGTTTACTCATTAATCAATTTATCCTCATTCTCCTCTCCCCTAAGTCCTTGGCACCACCAATCTGCTTTCTGTCTCTATGGATTTATCCATTCTGGATATTTCATATAAATGGAATCATAACAATATGTGACCTTTAGTGTCTGCTTTCTTTCACTTAGCATACTATTTTTGAAACTTATCCATGTTGTACATGAATCAATACTTCATTCTTTTTTGTTATTACTAAATAATATTCTATTGTATGTATATGCCATGGTTAGTTTATCCATTAACTTGTTTCTATCTTTTGGCTGTTGTACGTAGTGCTGCTGTGAACATTTGTGTGCAAGTATTTGTTTGAATATGTTATAATTCTTTTGGGTGTATGCATAGGAGTGGAATTGTTGGGAAAATGGTAATTCTATGTTTGACTTTTTTTAGGAGTCACCAACCATTTTCCATAGCAGCTGAACCATCTTATACTCCTATCAGCAATGTAGGGAGCTCTGGTAGCGTAGTGCCTAAGGCACTTGACTGCTAACCAGAAGGCTGGCGGTTCAAATCCACCAGCCATTCCTTGGAAGGAAGATGGGGCAATTTACTTCCGTAGTGATACTGCCTTGGAAACCCAAGGAGGGGTCGCTATGAGTCGGGTCTGACTCGACAGCACATAATAATATAACAACAATCAGCAATGTAAGGAGCTCTGGTGGCATAGGGGTTAGGACATTTGGCTGCTAACCAGAAGGTCAGCAGTTCAAATCCATAAGCTGATCCATTGGGGGTTGCTATGAGTCGGAATTGACTCAATGGCAGTGCATTTGGTTTTTTTTTTTTTTTTTTGTTAACACTAATGCACAAGGGTTCCAATTTCTCCACATCATTTCCAACAGTTAAGTATTTTTCCCCCCTTTTTAAATTAGAGCCCTCCTAATGGGTGGGAAATGGTACTTCATTGTTTTTGTTGCATGGTTTTGTTTTGCATTTTCTTGATTCATGATCTTGAGCATATTTTCATACACTTATTAGCCATTTGTGCATTTTTTTTGTTTTTGAGAAATGTCTGTTCAAATCCTTTACATGCTTTTTGAAATTCAGTTATTTGTCTTATTATTGTAAAGTTTTAGGAGTTCTGTTTGGAGACAAGTCCCTCATGAAATACATGGTTTCCAAATTCTATATCTCATTCTAGAGGTTATCTTTTCACTTTCCCGTTGGTGTCTTTTGATGCACAAAAGTTTTCAATTTGATGAAGTCTAATTTATCTACTTTTTCTTTTGTTCTCATACATATAATTTTTCACAATGTTTAATAACCTAGTAATTAATTCCTTTTGTGTTAATATATTGGTATAGTATTTTATGACTTTTTTTCTCCTAAAAAAACTCCGGCTTTAATGGCATTTAGAATATACTATTATATTTAGACTATACTATTTCACTAGGTTTTTCTTCAATGTTTGTTAGGTGCTGAAGCATCCAGATGTTTCTAATAAAACATCGAGAATAGCTTTTGTGAAGGCCCTTTTGCAATTTTATATTTTCAATTAATTCTTTTTATTAAATATAGAATTTAGTTTGTATGCACTAGTGTTTTGGGATTCAAGCGTGGAAAGCTGAGATGGAATAGAAAAAGAAAAAAAATTTTAAAAAACTTCTCAGATAGACAGTTTCCATCAATGCCCTTCATAAGCAATATCTTTACCCCTCTCTTTCTGTCTCTCTCTCTCTCTCTCAAGCTATAGGATTTGTTTTCATTTTAGGTGTTTGAGCACTGAAATAACCAGTATATTTTATGATGTGACTTAGCTTTATAGTAAAACAAACCAAACCCATTGCCATCAACTTGATGCCAACTCAGATTGACCCTATAGGACAGAGTTGAATTGTCCTATAGGGTCTCCAAAGCGGTAAATTTTTACAGAAACAGACTGCCTCCTCCATCGCTCATGGAATGACTGATAGGGTCAGACCATCAACCTTTCAGTTAGCAGCCTCAGCAGTTGAGCTCTTTAACCATTACACCACCAATGCTCCTTAACTTTATAACCAGGATGATAAAAACCTTTATGATTACTATTGCTGCAATAGAAAAAAGGTATACCTAAACTTTATTTTATGCCAGTTTATTAGTAATAGCTAACATTTATTTAGTACTTATTATTATTGCCAGATACAAAAGGCCTTATGTAGATTATCTTAATGAATTTTCACAACTATTTGAGATAAGTATTACAATTTTCTCTGTTTTTAAATATGAGGAAACTGAGGCAAAGAGTAGTTAAGTAACTCATCAAAAGTTTCACATTTAATAAATTGTGGAATTTAGATTCATCTTGCAGCAACTTGATTTCAGAGCCACGTTGTTAATCATAATATCTATACTAATGATATTAAAACTTCTCATCTCTTTATGATAGAAAGGATGGTCAAGCGGCACCTACTCGTTTGTATATGCTGTATACTTCTCTAAGAAATAATTTCCTGTTTACTGTATACCTTGTATCTTTCTTCCTCTGAATAAGATGGAAGAGACTTTTCTTTTTTGCTGTGATGTTACTGACAATCACGGTCAAATATTTCAGGTCTCAGTGGGAAGTGGAGAAGCATAATCTGGAAAGCACAATTAAAACACACCTGAATAAACTGAGTACAGAAACCAACAGAGCTTCAACAGCTGAGGTAAAACCAGACAGAAAAAACCACCACTAACAACAACAAATGGGATAGGATGGGGGATTTAATATATTAAAGAATTGTAAAGAAGACTGCTTTTTGAATAAACAGACATAAGACATTTTAGGATCAGCTGGGAAAACTCTGGTGCCTTTTGACTCATTGGTATAGTATATTATTCATGAGTACTTGAATGTTGATGACCTTATATTGTATTTTCTCAGATAACTCCAAGAAATTGTTCTACTACGATGTGTATAGCAAATGGAAGTATTTTGGGAAAATCCTTATAAAGCCAGATTACTAAGCTAAACTTCTAAGGGTAACATCTCACTGTGGCTGTGATTCCTCCTTTTTCTTCTACTGCTCCTCTGATTTCCCAAAACACATACCTATCATGCACTCCGATGTCAAAATGCAACTTACCTTCCAGACCCCCTAAAGTTATCAAATTTCTTCTGGGTTAGCCTTAAACACCACAGTTAGGGTATCTCAAAAGAAATGTGATTGTATGTGTTCATGCAATTTTTATTTATAGATAACCAAACTTGATATACAATAAGATTCACATTTTTGGAGAACTCACTGACATTAAAAGCATTACAAAACCTTCCTGCCTCTGTCATGGGTAAGCTCTATTCTCTAGCAGAGTACTTGAGATTCTGAAGTCACCAACCAAGGAGTCATATCTGAACCAAAAATCCCTGGGGAATAAATTGTTGGAGTATTAGCTTTAATAAAAGAAAGAGCTCAGATTACCATAAAAGTGTTTTTCACTGCTTTTAGTCAGAAAGGAAAGTTGCTTTCTACTTTTGGTACTAATTTTAGAAAGAAAGCACTTGTTAACACTTAATGCTGCCTAAGAGTGTAATAAGGTATTTTTAGTGGACACTGAGCAATTGGTAGTAAACAAAACAAACACAGAGCCTAAGTGTTCTTGCATCAGTAAAAGTACACCGATTTCTGCTTTGGGAGAAATTTGCCTACATGACCTCCAGGGCCCATTTGGTTCTGTATGTTCTGTTTATTTTTTTACATCATCAATGAAAATAAAGTAGATATCAGACCTTCTTCTAAGTGTTCTTAAACTTTACTGCATACTAGAGTAACTGGAGAGCTTTTAAAAATCTAGATGAATAAGCTGTACCCAATATTAATGAAATTAGAATCTCTGGGACCAAGACAACATTCTGTAAAGTTTACCAGATGATTTGAGTAAATGTGCAGATTTGTAAATTAATATTCTAGAGTGTTTATCAACCCAGTAACCATTGAATTAAAAAAAAATTACATTGTTCAAAAAGTTTTTATAATGTCCAGAAGCTCAGGTGCAGTTGGAAAATGTTGAGAAATAGCTTAAAATTTACTTGAGATGACTGAGAAGAGATGTGTTTATTTGCACAAGTTAAGAAGGACATCTTTAACTCCTTTCTTTTTCTCAAAAATCTGTAGGTATATTTCTTACAGTGTCGTCGAGACTTTGGTTTGCTTCATCTAGAGCAGACAGAAAGGGAGTGTCTCAGCCAGCTTGCCAGGGTGACTCACATGGCGGCAAGGTAACCTTTCCCTCCTAATGCACTTTGAATTTCAGAGATATTTGCAGAGGGCTCCAAGGTTGAGCTTATCTGTGATGTGTTTTACATATATGATATTGAACTTTAGAGTAAAGAACCCACTTTGTTTTCTTTAAACTTCAAAAGTCATTTAGTTACTTTGATGCTTTTGCTTTGTTGCCTCCGTTGAAGCACTGTGAAGTCTGCTCAGTGAAGTAATAGCGGCTGACAGAATTTTTTTCCTTCCTCTGGGTAAAACATCAAAAGTTCCATGCAGAGATATACATAAAGGGCAGACATTTATAAAACAAGGTGAATTCTAATTGGAAATGTTTTCATAATTGTTTTCCCTTCTAATACTTGATGTTAAATACTTTTAGAATAAGATGGGAGAAATAGCACTATATTAATACTTAAAATCATATTAAAGACAGTTTCCTGTTATACTCTAAATGAATGGCTTTTAAATATTGGAAAGGCTGTATCAAATCCTCCTCAAATTTACAATATTAGGGGAAATACTCTCAAACTCAAATAATTGAGTTTGACCTGGTCTGGGACCATGTTGTCTTTTTTTTTTTTTTTGGTCATTCTTTTTAAAAGATGATCATGTCAATGATGATGATGATGATTTAATTCTAACAAATCAGAATCTGATATTGAGCAAGAGTCTCAGGATATTCTGATGTGTGTTCTGGTTTGGGAATCTCTGTTGTAAGTCATCTGTCTATGTGCTCAATAGAGGGATTTCAAATTTTTAAGGTCACTTTGAATGAGAGACTCTCATTGATAACATACTCTGCTCTTTTAAAATAATTATGGTGGGGGATACTGGGGTGGGGATGTTATAACAGATAGAGCTTTTTGAAAGGCCTCATGAAATCTTTCTCTTAGAGCTGACTGACTCCAAAACTGTTTTAGGTTTAGTAACGACATTTGTTGAGCATGGATTACCAGAGCCTGCTATGTTTGTGCAATTTTTGCACTGTACAAAGCCAAAATCTAATGCTCCCAGACAAGGTACTTTTTTCTAATTTGCCTTCCCTGAGAGAATGCCTTTCTCTAACTTGCCAAGAAACTGGATAAGCCAACTGCAGCCATGTGAAGATGTACAAAACCAGCCTCCAGGATGAGTCAAACATCTTGAAAACACTCAAGCATCTCTGGGAATGTTCTTGTGTTAGGTGAATAGGGCAATTCCTCTGTTAGGTCTTCTCTGTCTCCCTACTTCACTGGAAGAATTTATTTACAAAGGTTTTAAAATACATCCTAAGGAATGATGCCATCAAGACCGAAACATATTTGGTCTTCTAAAAGCATAAGTTATATTTGGTATTGAGACAAGAATTACTGTGTAGTTTTTATTTTCATTTTTAATAACAAGCCCTTCCATGCATCTTTGTGCCCACTTGATGTAATTGTTGGTCAAGGAGGTAATTTTGTGTTTAATATTATTTACTGAAGAACATATTGGAAAATTTTTGGAACCTAAACGATATATAAAACAAAAGATTTATCTCATATGTCTCTTTTCTAAACCAGCAACCTAGAATCACTTCAGTTAAAGGCTGCAGTAGACAGTTGGAATGCCATTGTGATGGATGTTAGAAACAAGATTGCATTCCTCAGGGTAAGTGCTGAAGTACATGTATAGTAAATTGGCTGAATGTTATGGGTGGTATACTTAAAAATCTACAATTAAAAACATTTTAAGAGAAATTTAAGTTATTAATATTCCAGTTATTAACAGTGCTGTTTTCCATTTGAGATTGATTTCTTCCATGTAGTTAATTGTAGCTTGCACACTAAACGCAAACATATGGTCATTGTGATCTTTATTTGATCCCCATAGCCCAGGAAATGATTAACTCAAAAATTGCTCCTCACACCTGGTTTCCCTAGAATTCCAAAACTAACTCTGTCCCAATCAAAAGAAATATCTTAACATGGTCTGAATAATAATGTGCTTAAAGTATTAAAGGAAAATCAATTTGACATGTATGAGTTTCAGCCTTAGCTTTTTATGTAATGATTCCATAATGCAAAACAACAAATTCTTAATTATTGATTTAATAGAATTAAGACCTTGCTAATAACAACAACAAAAAGTAATCTAAAGAGATAATCCATTGAATATTTATTATCCATTCATTTGGCCTTTGAATGTTTTTGTAGTCGTATTTTAAGGTTGATAAAATGTTCTATTATAATACATAAACTCATTGCCATCGAGTTGATTCCAACTCATAGTGACCCCCATTGGGTGTCCAAGGCTGTAAATCTTTGCAGAAGTAGACCACCTCATCATTCTTCCACAGAGTGGGTAGTGGCTTTGAACCACTGACCTTCTGGTTAGCAGCCAAATGCCTTATATATATGTGTATTATTATAATGACTTAATGTTGATATTTTCATGCAGTTTCACGACATTTTCGGCAAAACGATGAAGTTTAATTATATGCACAGTTGCCTCAAAAGGCACTAACAAATTCTCTAGATTTTTCCTTCTTGTTCTTATTTCTCTTCCTTAGTTGATCTTTAGTGATATTTAGCATTTTTGTTGGGTTATTCAAAGTTTTGGCCTTGAAAGAACAGCCCTTTGTTCTATTTCAAGCATATCTCTGTGGAAATTTCTGAATGTTTTGGTTTATAAGAAATTTTTTCCAGCTCCTGTGTACTGTTTATAACATAATATAGTATTGAAAAATGATGACAATACCAAAAAAAAATGTTGAAAACATTAAGCTTCAAGAAATAATGTCTCATTTTTGACAAAAATTCAAGAGACTAAAACAAAAGTAGATGTGGAGCTGAAGTGAGCTAAAGTGATAGCTTTTGAGATAAACAAAATAAGGATATTGAATGAATATTCTTAAAATTTCCACTCCAGTTTTAAAATGAACAACTGTTTTTATAAATAACTTTGTATATTTTTCTATATTTTAGCTATTATGCTGTTAGGTTCTTGAAACTTCAAGATCTTCTTTTACCTTATATCAGTGGTCCCTGTTTTTGGGCTAAGGATTATGAGAGGGCTAAGGAATAAGCACAAGGTATCTGTTAACACAGTGCCTAAGACATTTGACTACTAACCAGACAGTTGCTGGTTCAAACCCACCAGCCGCTTGGTGGAAGAATGATGGGGCAATCTACTTCTATAAAGTTCTACTGCCATGGAAACCCTGTGGGGGTCACTATGAGTCTGAATCAACTCAATAGTAGTGTGGTTTTTTTTTTTTTGGTGGTGCAGTACCTAAGGCATTTAACTGCTCACTGGCAGGTTAGCAATTCAAATCCACCAGCCGCTCTGCAGAAGGAAGACGGGGATATTTACTTCCTTAAAGATTTACTGCCCTAGAAACCCAGTGGTGTCACTGTGAGTTGGAGCATCTGTATCTTGTCAATCGACAGACACTTCTAAAATACAACTATTTACATGTGGGAAGAATGATCTACAGAATTGTTTTATGTCAAAAGAGGTTCTCCATACTGAAAATTCTATATTCCAAAACTGTACATTAGTTATTCCCATATGCTGTGTTTTTTGAAGTTAATTTTGCCCTCAGTATTGCTTCTCTTCTTCCATCAGACTCAGTACAATGAACAAATCAATAAGGTGAAGCAAGGGTTTGCCTTGAGTACCTTGCCTCCAGTACAGCTTCCACCACCACCACCGAATCCTGAGATACTGGTAAGAAATATAAGATTAAAAAAATTGCCATCTTCATCTGGATAAAATGATAAGGCTGTACAAATATTGAAAATGCAGTGTAATGTGTGCCCCAAATAGAATAAGCACATGTTGTGAATACTAATTATAATTTTGTTTCTGACTGCCAGTCTTCAGATTATGGAATTAGTTGACTGGCTCAGGTGAGGCCAAAGCATAGGTTGTATCACTAGGTTTTGGTCATTTATTTGATATCTAAAGAGGTAATATTTTTCATTTACTCTTTCAGTTTCCCTGTGTAATAGGAGATAATCATGAATACTTAGAATTCCCATTGTAGTCTATAACAGTTTCCTAGGGCTATTGTAAAAAATACCCCAAATTGGTAGGATAATTACAACAGAATCTTATTCTCTCACAGTTCTGGGGGTCAAAAGTCCAAAATCAAGTTGTTGGCAGGGCGTGTTCCCTCCAGAACCCCTGAAGGAGAATCCTTCCTTGCCTCCTCTAGCTTTTGAAAGCCTTAGGAGTTTCATGAGTGTTTTCTGTTAAGTGCCTCAGAATTCTTCCAGCCTCTTCCCATTAACCAATTCCAAAGGCATTTCCATGTATTAGGTATTTATTATAGTAGCACTCCACTTCTCAGTACCAAAATAAGCTGCCATGAGAAAGTACTGCAGACTGGTTGGCTTAAAATACCAGGAAATCTGTTCTCTAACAGTTCTGGAGTCTGTTGTTGTTAGGTGCCATTGAGTCGCCTCCAACTCATAGAGACTCTGTGCACAGCAGAATGAGACACTGCCCAGTCCTGTGCCAGCCTCACGATCTTTGCTATATCTGAAACCATCGTGGCAGCCACTGTGTCAGTCCATCTCGTTGAGGACCTTCCCATTTTTCATTGACACTCTGCTTCACCAAGTATGATATCTTTCTTCAGGGAGTGGTCCCTTCTGACAACATGACCAAAGTAGATGAGACGAAGTCTGGCCATTCTTGCTTCCAAGGAGGATTCCGGCTGCACTTCGTCCAGGACAGATTTGTTAGTTCTTTTAGCAGTCCATGGTACTTTCAGCATTTTTCTCCACCACTACAACTGAAAAGCATCAACTCTTCTTTGGTCGTCCTTATTCATTGTCCAGCTCTCACATGTATAAGAGGTGATTGAAAATACCTTGGGTTGGCTTAGGCACACCTTAGTCTTCAAGGAGACATCTTTGCTCTTTAGCACTTGAAAGAGGTATTTTGCAGCAGGTGTGCCCAATGCAGTACATCAGCTGATGTCTTGACTGCTGCTTCCATTGGTGTTGATGATACAACCAAGTAATATGAAGTCCTTGACAACTTCAGTCTTTTCTCTATCCATCGTGAAGTGGTTTATTAGACCAATTGTGAAGATTTTTGTTTTTTTAATATCGAGGTATAATCCATACTGCAGACTGTAGTCTTTAATCTTCATCAGTAAGTGCTTCAAGTCATCCTTACTTTCAGCAAGCAAAATTGTGTCATCTGTGTATCACAGATTGTTAATGAGTCTTCCTCCAATCCTGATGCCATGTTCTTCTTCATATAATCCAGTTTCTCAGATTATGTGCTCAGCATACAGATTGAATAAGTATGGTGTAAAGATACAAGCCTGACACATTCCCTTCATGATTTTAAACATCAAGGTATTTCAGTGCCATACTTCCTCTAAGCTTTTAAAGGAGAATCCTTTGCCTCTTCTAGCTTCTGGTAGGCCTAGACATTGCTTAGCTTATAGCTTCCTAACTCTCATCTCTGTTTCCATCTTCATGTGGCCATTACCACCCCACCCCACCCCAGTCTCTCTTCCACTCTTCATGTAAGGAAACCAGTCATATTGGATTAAGAGCCCACCCTACTCCCAGTATGATCTCATCTTTACATCTTTACATCATTATATCTGCATTGACCCTATTTCCAAATAAGGTCACATTCTGAAGTTCCAGGAAGGACTAGAATTTTGGGGAAAAACTGTACAACATGGTATATCCTCATATTAACCCTAGATGACTGAAACATCTCAGCTTATTACTATAGCAAGCTGTGTATTTCAACCCTCGTCTTCTACTTTAGGTTTTCTTTTCCTTAACTTTTTCCTTCTTTTCTACCTTCTACAGCAGTGACAGCTTTCACTTGGTACAGGGCTGTACTGTTGTTGTTAGGTGCCATCAACTTGGCTCCAACTCATAGTGACCAATAGAATGAAACACTGCCTGGCCCTGTACCAGCCTCACAATCATTGCTATACCTGAGCCCATCATGGCAGCCACTGCGTCAGTCCATCTCATTGAGGGCCTTTCCCTTTTTCACTAACCTTCCACTTTACGAAGCATGACATCCTTCTCCAGGGAATGGTTCCTTCTCACACCATGACCAAAGTAGATAAGATGGAGTCTGGCCATTCTCACTTCCAAGGAGCATTCTAGCTGCACTTCTTCCAGGACAGATTTGTTCATTCTGGCAGTGCATGATACTTTTATTATTCTTCGCCAACACCACAACTCAAAAGCATCGACTCCTCTTTGGTTTTCCTTATTCATTTTCTGGCTCTCACATGCATATGAGATGATTGGAAACACCATGGCACACCTTGTGTTAGGCATGCCTTAGTCTTCAAAGAGACATCTTTGCTCTTCAGCACTTGGAAGAGGTCTCTTGCAGCATATTTGTCTAGTGCAATATGTCTTCTGATTTCTTGACTGATGCTTCCATTGGTATCAATTGTTGTTGTTGTTAAGTGCTGTCGAGTTGTTTCTGACTCATAGTGACCCCATGCACAGCAGAACGAAACACTGCCCGATCCCACACCAGCCCCACAATCCCTGCTATACTTGAGCCCATCATCGCAGCCACCGTGTCAATCCATCTCGTTGAAGGC